TTGATAAATACCAAAGATATGTTTGAGTTAATCTAGAAATATGGTGACATTGTTGCATAGTTTGTCCAATGCAAAGAGCTGACAACCTTTTTCCCAACTGTAAAATGTCCCAGTCAGTCCATGTTTTAGACACACTTGTCTCAAAAAAAAGATTTAAAGGATCTTTGTCAAAACTGTTAGTGTGTATTATTTATATATGTATATAAATATAGAATATATAAAATTAACATCAGCCATATATCATTATTGGTATTTTGTAAAATATCAATACTCACATCAACCAGTATTAGTGAGGTTCTAATTGTGTTATTTTTAGAGACAATCCTGTTGTGCAAAAGAATATTTTTAAAAGCATATAGTAGATTTTCAACCATATGTGTGTTGGAGTTTCATTTGATCCATTGTGTAGTTTAAAGCTTCATATTAGGTACTTGTATGTTTTGACATGTTGTCAGTTTTTATAGCCTGGTGCCTAAGAAACAATATTCAGTTTTAACTAAAACTGAAATCATTAGTTTATTCATAGTTAGTAAAACGTCAGTAATTAATTAGTAACGTTTATTTTATTTTTATTTTAAAACTCCAATCATTTTCTGAGTTTTAGCTTCTCCCGCATGAGAATTTCTTGCTCATTTTTCTCATTTATATTACTGTAAATTGAATTTCTTTGTGTTTTGGATAATTGATCCCATAAAACAACATTTGAAGATGTCACTTTGGAAGGTTGTGATGAGCCTCTATCACTGTTTTCTGATGTTTTATAGATGTGACAATAAATTGACAAATAATCAGCAGATGAATTGATGATGAAATAGTTGTTAGTTGCCACATGTATCGTTTTATATTTGGAATGGTAAATATACTTGTACAAGTTTTGTGTAGAATTTACCATCTTGATTTTAGATTAAAACTATATATTGATATTGGATGATGGAAATCTTGATACTTCATCTTGATCACTTTTCTTAGATATTTTCATTCAGTATATGTAAGTGACCACACAGATTGACTTTGAAGATAGCTATTCTTGGGTAAAGGCAGCAGCGAATTTTTTTCTTCTTTTTTTTTCTGTTCATGCGAGTAACAGCACGAATTCAACAGTCTGTCCCTGAGGCAGCAGTGAACCGAGCCCAGAGCAGTTCACTGGTTAACACTCCCTACAGCTGGGAGGGGACCACTGCAGCTGTCCTTCTATCATACTGCCTCCATTCTTCCATTCTTCTCTCCAGCCAGCAGTCCCACATGGTAGCAGGGCTGGCTGTGATGAGATGCAGTCAGTCTGGAGGGAAAGTACTGTGGAGAGTCACAAATAATAAAGACAAACAAGATATTCAAGCGAAGGTCACATCTGGGGAGCTAAATGTTACTCTGCTTTGATGAGAAACCAGCAGGGGCCTACTCAGGGTCACTCAGTTGATGAAAACTCTGTCAGTTAAAAGAGGGATATATTACTTTAAAGGTAGACTCATATAAAAATACTTACTGTTAAAAGTACAAAGCCTATGAATAAGAGCATGTTTGAATTAATTCTATCATGGCCACAAAAAACACTTTATTCTGATTTGCTAGATCATATATTATTACAGGTCAGTCATGTCAAGGTTTAATTTCAGTTGTAAATCACTCCTCGTGGCAGCCAAAGAAAAATAATAAACACTGCACTTTTTCCAATCCTACACCTACTTGTTTGTCTCGCCCACAGCAGTTTTTATATTGAAAATCTGCCTGTCCCATCTTAGAGAGAAAATAACATACATTATTATAATTGTTTAATAAACCGCCTTAAGAGGACAGGAGATGAAAGTATGCCTTATTAAATGCCATTTAAAGTGAAAAACAAACAAAAACAGCTTCCGCTTGGGGCAGTGTGAGAAAGTGGAGATAAAAAATGTAGTAATGTTTTATGTAGTTTCCCTCAGAAGCAGATTCACACCAGATGCAGGCTTCAGAGCAGGGTTGAATTTGCTGTTTACTGATCAAATCAGAGCTGAAACGATTAGTTAATTAATTACTCGATCAACAGAAAAATTAACTATTTTCATAATCGATCATTGTTTTAGTAATTTTTCAAACAAAAATGCCAAACATGTTTGTGGGGATTTGCAGATTTTCTGTTTCATATCATTGTAAACTGAAAGTCTTTAGACTGTTGGTCGGACAAAACAAGATGTTTGAAAAAGCTGCATCTAGAAACTATGACTTATTTTCTGACATTTTATATGTAGTTGATTAATTACACTAAAAAAATAATGAGCAGATAAATTGATAATGAAAATAATTGTTAGATCAAATTTGGATTAGCAATGGCAATTTTGTTAATTGCTTGACTTGACAAGCGAGCATGACAATTTTTTTTTTTACGATTGCTTAGGCACAATTTTGAAAACAGAGCTAATTTTTTCACACACAATTAACAAAACCAAACATCCAAAGTGCAAAACACCTCGTATATCCTTAAAATGAAGCACTGCATTCAAAACTACATAAACTCTTATCAAAATCAAACTTTTGCACCAAATGGCAAACACTACATTCATATTACCACATTCTTGTCCAACCAACTACACACTGTTGTTTTCAATCCAAACCACTTTCATCTTTGGTGGTCTTGTCATCATAGTTCTGAGGGAAGAGAATTCTGCCGAGAGAATTTGTTCAAGTTTGAATATATGCAGAAACACAAATACTGTTGAAACAAAACGACAACAAATCAAATCAATCAGTCATTCAATCAATCAAATGCACAGTACATCTTACATTACTGTTTTAGGAACAAAAAAAGTTCTATCAAATACAGCCAACAGAAAATTAAAATTTGAGGGGAAATAAATTACAAGACAAAAGAAAAGAAAATATTTAGGCGTCATCTTGCTGCCTCACTGGGTCTGCCCACAGCACCTCATCAAGATCAGTGAGGGAAGAATCATCCAGTCCTGGACAGCACCCACATCAGTGTCATCACATGCCTCTTTCATTGCCTGTTGAAGAGCCATGTGCACATAGGGCTAATGGTCATACCTTCCTCCACCGTGCAGAGAAAAACTCAGCTGGACTGAGAAATGGAGAGTAGGGTATAAGGTATTGAACAAGAAATTGTGGGTGATCAACAAACCGGTTTTAGATCAGGGCTCTGGGATGGAAGCTAACACTGTCCCATACGGTCTATGCTGCTCTGCGTCGTCCATGTGGTCCGCCGGTATCACAGTGTTGAACAGTCTGTCCAAAAATGTGAGAATGTGGTCTGTGTTGTATCAACCAATGTTGGCATGGCAGTGGAGGACACCATCTACAATGGCTTTGTGAACAATGTGAACAAAAAGTGATGGACACAGTATGATTGGTGATACTGAATTATGCAGAGTGAATGGTATTCTGGTTACATACCTGTGCTCAAGTCTAAATGTCCGGATAACAGAGGCTACGGTAAATCAGCTCATGTTCAACCCATGGTTGATAACATGGTCAGCTAATGTTGCCCAGATTTCATCTGAAAGCTGTGCCATTCTTTGTCCTTGTCCTTGTCCTCCAGCTCTACCCCTACCTCTCATTCTCACCCTCCCTCCACCTCTTCCTCTTACTGCTGCTTCCATTGTTGTTGTAAAAATTTAGCTTTTTATAGTGCTTACATCTTGATTGATGAGTCAATAATTAAGCAGTTATGTGTTTGGCCAGGTGGCCTGTGTATTGGCCAACAGGTCCACAGGTGTAGCATTTTGAATAGCAGTGTTTTGAAATGGCAAACAAATGACTTTGTTGGATTCCTGTGTTTTACATAGAGAACTGTGTACAGTGTATTGCAAAAAGTGTTGTGTTGAATTGCAATTTGGGTGCAAAGGTGTATATGTGTTTAGAGTTTTGGAGATGTGAGCAGAGGTTTTGCTCCATGAGTGCCAGTTTCAATAATTTAGCAACTGAAAAAACTGTAAAAGGGTCACCAGGATGCTTTTCACATGCTAATACAACCTGTACACATTATTTCAAGATGGTTATTGTAGTCAAACCAGATAAATAGCCTAATTTCTATAAATATCTTGGAATCTGGTTGTATCAGAAACAGAGATCATTTTTGTATGGTCAGCAGGAAGCGAAAAATTGAGGCTGTGTTCTTGTCTGTCCTGGATTATGCTGATGTCATCTATAGACACGCCTCTGCCTCTACTCGCAAACCCAACTGGTGACAGTTATACTACCATCATTGCACCTTGTATGAAAAGGTTGGGTGGGCATCTCTAACAGCAAGACGTGACAGAGTATAGTATAGTAGTATAGTATTATATATATATATAGTATCAGTAAGTCATAAAAAAGTCATTGTATAGTAGGGCACAAAAAAGTCATAATATTGTAGGGCATAAAAAGTCATAATAAGTCATAAAGTCATAGTATAGTCAGGCATAAAAGTCATAGTATAATAAGACATAAAAAAGTCACACTATAGTAAGGCATAAAAACATCATAGTATTGTGACGAGTCTGCCTAAGTGTAGTTGTCGTGGGCAGTTACTGTGACTTGTGTCCTCTAAGGTAAATGGAAGGAGGTGATTGCGCCAGCCAGATTTGGAGCACTTGGGCTGCACGCTCCTATCACTCTACCTTTCTCTCACCTGGACTCATCCCTGTTTTCTTTTGTTTGGATTTTGTTTTCTGTTTGCTTAACAACATCTTACAATTCATTATTGAGTATTCATTTTTATGATAAATATTGTCTCCGCCTGTCATCAGTTGTGTCCATTCCCTAATTTGTCGTGGCCTAGGAGCAAGGTTATGAAAGTGTAGTAAAGCATAAAAATGTCATAATATAGTAAGGCATAAAAAAGTCATACTATGGTAAGGCATAAAAATGTCATAGTGGAAAAAGGCATAAAAAGTCGTAGTATAGTAAGGTATAAAAAAAATCATAATATAGTAAAGTATGAAAAAGTCATAGTATTGGAAAGCATAAAGACGGGTTTGTCTAAGTGTAGCTGTCATGGGCAGTTTTGTGCTTTTGTGTCCTCAAAGGTAAACAGAAGGAGGTGATCGCAGCAGCCAGATTTGGAGCATCTGGACTGCATGCTCCAATTGCTCTACCCTTCCTCTCACCTGGACTCATCCCTGACAGCGTCAGCATGTTTTTTTTGTTTGGATTTTATTTTTGTTTTGCTTCACAACATCCTACAATTGATTGTATTCACACATTCATATTCACACCACTGATATGACTGACTGACACACTCCATATTTGTATTTGTCTTTTCAGTTTATTCATTTTTATAATAAATATTGTCACCACTTGTCATCAGTCTTGTCCATTCCCTAATTTTTCGTGGCCTACAAACTGGGTTATGTCAGTATAGTAGGGCTTAAAAAAGTCGTAGTATAGTAAGGCATAAAAACCGTCATGATATAATAAGGCATAAAAGCGGCATACTATAGTAAGGCATAAAAACCGTCAGAGTACAATAAGGCAAGAAATGTCATAGTATAGTAAGTCACAAAAACATCATAGTATAGTAAGATATAAAAATGTCATAGTATAGTTAGGGATGAAAATGTAACAGTATAATGAGGCATTGAAATATGTTATATATTGAGGCATAAAAATGTCATAAAAACTTCATAATATGTTAAGACATAAAAAAGGTCATAGTATAGTAAGGCATAAAAACATCACAGTTCAGTAAGGCATAAAAAACGTCATAGTATAGTAAGGCATAAAAAAGGTCATAGTATAGTAAGGCAAAAAAATGTCAAAAAACGTTATAGTAAGGCAACATGAGTTGAAAAGACGTCATAGCTTAGTGAAGCAAAAACATCTGGAAAAACGTCATAGTATACTAAGGCATAAAAATCTCATAGTATGGTAAGGCATTGAAAACATGATAGTATAGTAAGGTATAAAAACATCATAGTATAGTAAGACAAAATTTAAAAAAAAAAATATCATAGCATAGTAATGCAAAAAAATGTCAAAAAACGTCAAAGTATAGTTAGGCATATAATGCCAAAAAAAACATAGTATAGTAAGTCAAAAAAAATTTTAAAAACATCATAGTATATTAAGGCATGATGGGTCATAAAAACATCATAGTATGGCAAAGCATGAGACAAAATAATATAATCAGGCTTAAAAATGCCAAAAAAAGTCAAGGTATACAATGGCAGAAAAATGCCACAAAACGTCATAGTATAGTATGGCATAAAATGTCAAATAAACATCATAATGTATTAAGGCATAAAAGGTCATAAAAACGTCATAGTATGGTCAGGCATCAAAGGAAATAGTATAGTAAGGCAGAAAAATGCCAAAAAACGTCAAAAGAAAGTATGGCAGAAAAATGCCAAAAAACGTCATAGTATAGTATGGCATAAAATGTCAAAAAAACATGATAGTATATTAAGGCATAAGAGGTCATAAAAACGTCATAGTATGGAAAAGCATGAGATTAAATAATATAATTAGGCATAAAAATGCCAAAAAACATCAAAGTCGAGTATGGCAGAAAAATGAAAAAAAACATCATAGTATAGTATGGCATAAAATGTCAAAAAATCATCATAGTATATTAAGGCATAAAAGGTCATAAAAATGTCATAGTATGGTCAGGCATCAAAGGAAATAGTATAGTAAGACAGAAAAATACCAAAAAACGTCAAAGTCAAGTATGGCAGAAAACTGCCAAAAAACGTCATAGTATAGTATGGCGTTAAATGTCAAAAAATCATCATAGTATATTAAGGCATAAAAGGTCATAAAAATGTCATAGTATGGTCAGGCATCGAAGGAAATAGTATAGTAAGACAGAAAAATACCAAAAAACGTCAAAGTCAAGTATGGCAGAAAACTGCCAAAAAACGTCATAGTATAGTATGGCGTTAAATGTCAAAAAATCATCATAGTATATTAAGGCATAAAAGGTCATAAAAATGTCATAGTATGGTCAGGCATCGAAGGAAATAGTATAGTAAGACAGAAAAATACCAAAAAACGTCAAAGTCAAGTATGGCAGAAAACTGCCAAAAAACGTCATAGTATAGTATGGCGTTAAATGTCAAAAAATCATCATAGTATATTAAGGCATAAAAGGTCATAAAAATGTCATAGTATGGTCAGGCATCGAAGGAAATAGTATAGTAAGACAGAAAAATACCAAAAAACGTCAAAGTCAAGTATGGCAGAAAACTGCCAAAAAACGTCATAGTATAGTATGGCGTTAAATGTCAAAAAATCATCATAGTATATTAAGGCATAAAAGGTCATAAAAATGTCATAGTATGGTCAGGCATCGAAGGAAATAGTATAGTAAGACAGAAAAATACCAAAAAACGTCAAAGTCAAGTATGGCAGAAAACTGCCAAAAAACGTCATAGTATAGTATGGCGTTAAATGTCAAAAAATCATCATAGTATATTAAGGCATAAAAGGTCATAAAAATGTCATAGTATGGTCAGGCATCGAAGGAAATAGTATAGTAAGACAGAAAAATACCAAAAAACGTCAAAGTCAAGTATGGCAGAAAACTGCCAAAAAACGTCATAGTATAGTATGGCGTTAAATGTCAAAAAATCATCATAGTATATTAAGGCATAAAAGGTCATAAAAATGTCATAGTATGGTCAGGCATCGAAGGAAATAGTATAGTAAGACAGAAAAATACCAAAAAACGTCAAAGTCAAGTATGGCAGAAAACTGCCAAAAAACGTCATAGTATAGTATGGCATAAAAATGCCAAAAAATGTCAAAGTATAGTATGGCAGAAAAATGCAAAAAGACGTCATAGTATAGTATGGCATTAAATGTCAAAAAATCATAATAGTATATTAAGGCATAAAAATGCTCAAAAAACGTATAGTATAATTATGGCAAAGAAAAATGCAAAAAAGGTCAATAGTATAGTTATGGCAAATAAAATGTGCAAAAAACATCATTTTAAGTATATTAAGGCTAAAAGGTCATAAAAACGTCATATGTATTGGCAAAGCATGAGATTAAATACTATAGTATAGGCAGAAAAATGCCAAAAAGACGTCAAAAGAATAGTATGGCAGAAAAAGAGCAAAACGTGCAATACGGTATAGTAATTGGCATAAAATGTCCCAAAAATCATCATAGTATTTAGTGTATAAAGGTCATAAAAACGTCATAGGTAATAGTCCGCGCAAATCAAAGGAAATAGTTATACGTAATGGCAGAAAACATGCCAAAAAACGTCATAGTATAGTATGGTAGAAAATGCCAAAGAACGTCATAGTATAGTATTGGCAAATAAAATGTCAAAAAAACATCAATAGTATACTTAAGGCCATAAAAGGTCAATAAAAAAACGTCATAGTGTGGCA